GCCACACTTGACTAGATTTTGTTAAAAGCCACACTTGACTAGATTTTGTTAAAAGCCACACTTGACTAGATTTTGTTTAAAAGCCACACTTGACTAGATTTTGTTAAAAGCCACACTTGACTAGATTTTGTTTAAAAGCCACACTTGACTAGATTTTGTTAAAAGCCACACTTGACTAGATTTTGTTAAAAGCCACACTTGACTAGATTTTGTTAAAAGCCACACTTGACTAGATTTTGTTAAAAGCCACACTTGACTAGATTTTGTTAAAAGCCACACTTGACTAGATTTTGTTAAAAGCCACACTTGACTTGTTAGATTTTGTTAAAAGCCACACTTGACTAGATTTTGTTAAAAGCCACACTTGACTAGATTTTGTTTAAAAGCCACACTTGACTAGATTTTGTTAAAAGCCACACTTGACTAGATTTTGTTAAAAGCCACACTTGACTAGATTTTGTTAAAAGCCAGTTAAAAGCCACACTTGACTAGATTTTGTTAAAAGCCACACTTGACTAGATTTTGTTAAAAGCCACACTTGACTAGATTTTGTTAAAAGCCACACTTGACTAGATTTTGTTAAAAGCCACACTTGACTAGATTTTGTTAAAAGCCACACTTGACTAGATTTTGTTTAAAAGCCACACTTGACTAGATTTTGTTAAAAGCCACACTTGACTAGATTTTGTTAAAAGCCACACTTGACTAGATTTTGTTAAAAGCCACACTTGACTAGATTTTGTTAAAAGCCACACTTGACTAGATTTTGTTAAAATTCCAAACATGACTAAAATTTTTTTTAAAAGCCACACTTGACTAGATTTTGTTTAAAAGCCACACTTGACTAACTAGATTTTGTTTAAAAGCCACACTTGACTAGATTTTGTTAAAAGCCACACTTGACTAGATTTTGTTAAAAGCCACACTTGACTAGATTTTGTTAAAAGCCACACTTGACTAGATTTTGTTAAAAGCCACACTTGACTAGTTTTTGTTTAAAAGCCACACTTGACTAGATTTTGTTAAAAGCCACACTTGACTAGATTTTGTTTAAAAGCCACACTTGACTAGATTTTGTTAAAAGCCACACTTGACTAGATTTTGTTACTAAAAGCCACACTTGACTAGATTTTTTTTTGTTTAAAAGCCACACTTGACTAGAAAAGCCACACTTGACTAGATTTTGTTAAAAGTCACACTTGACTAGATTTTGTTTAAAAGCCACACTTGACTAGATTTTGTTAAAAGCCACACTTGACTAGATTTTGTTAAAAGCCACACTTGACTAGATTTTGTTAAAAGCCACACTTGACTAGATTTTGTTAAAAGCCACACTTGACTAGATTTTGTTAAAAGCCACACTTGACTAAATTTTGTTTAATAGCCACACTTGACTAGATTTTGTTTAAAAGCCACACTTGACTAGATTTTGTTAAAAGCCACACTTGACTAGATTTTGTTAAAAGCCACACTTGACTAGATTTTGTTAAAAGCCACACTTGACTAGATTTTGTTAAAAGCCACACTTGACTAGATTTTGTTAAAAGCCACACTTGACTAGATTTTGTTAAAAGCCACACTTGACTAGATTTTGTTAAAAGCCACACTTGACTAGATTTTGTTAAAAGCCACACTTGACTAGATTTTGTTAAAAGCCACACTTGACTAGATTTTGTTAAAAGCCACACTTGACTAGATTTTGTTAAAAGCCACACTTGACTAGATTTTGTTAAAAGCCACACTTGACTAGATTTTGTTAAAAGCCACACTTGACTAGATTTTGTTAAAAGCCACACTTGACTAGATTTTGTTAATAGCCACACTTGACTAAATTTTGTTAAAAGCCACACTTGACTAGATTTTGTTAATAGCCACACTTGACTAGATTTTGTTTAAAAGCCACACTTGACTAGATTTTGTTTAAAAGCCACACTTGACTAGATTTTGTTTAAAAGCCACACTTGACTAGATTTTGTTTAAAAGCCACACTTGACTAGATTTTGTTTAAAAGCCACACTTGACTAGATTTTGTTTAAAAGCCACACTTGACTAGATTTTGTTTAAAAGCCACACTTGACTAGATTTTGTTAAAAGCCACACTTGACTAGATTTTGTTTAAAAGCCACACTTGACTAGATTTTGTTAAAAGCCACACTTGACTAGATTTTGTTAAAAGCCACACTTGACTAGATTTTGTTAAAAGCCACACTTGACTAGATTTTGTTTAAAAGCCACACTTGACTAGATTTTGTTAAAAGCCACACTTGACTAGATTTTGTTTAAAAGCCACACTTGACTAGATTTTGTTTAAAAGCCACACTTGACTAGATTTTGTTTAAAAGCCACACTTGACTAGATTTTGTTTCAGGTCTTTAGTTACCGTATTTCTCCGCCAATAAGCCCAGGGGGCCTGTGCATGAAATTGAGTCAAGAGTAGGGGGTGGGCTTATTTCTGGATAAGAGCCTATACCTGACCGATATCCTCGGTCGCCATCTTGGATTTTTCACTACTGTTATCGATGAACAAAAAAGACTGGTTACTGGATGATTAAAATAAGAACAAGAAGAAATACATATATAAACAGGTTTGTATTAATTCCATATCAAGTAAAACAAATACAGCAAAATCACCATAGCACTATCAATGAGTCACACACATGTCCATTAGGCTAATAAAAGTTCATGAACGATCGAAACCACCAAACAGAAGAGTCTTGTCGTCGGATTCCTCTGAATCAAACAGAATACCATCGGCCCTGGTACCATCAATGTCCTCCTCAATGTCTGTATTCGCACCGCTGACACCTACTTCCTCGATAAGTCGTCGGGATTGAAGTGAGTTCTCAGATCCGGACAGTGAATTGGAGATCCCACAGCTGAGAAAAGAGCCGACGATGGTCTCCTCGGTGACACTAGCCCAAGCTGTGCTGACCCACATAATGACATTCTGGCGAGTAGGCTGCACGATGTTACCATTCTTGTTGCGTTGGGCGGTCCGGAACCAGTCTGTCCACTGTTGGCGCATCCATTGTTTGAAAACCTTATTAACATGGGTGTCCATGGGCTGAACTAAACCGGTACAACCTAAGAAAATAAACAGACAAAAACATTTAGTAAAAATAGTGCACAAGTGTGTGTACCGCTGTTCAAAACAACTCCCCATAGGGGCCAAGTGTGATTACATAGGCTAACCTTTACATTTGCTATTACTTTTGCCTCCCTCCGCGTCTATAAAACGTATTTGACCAACATTCATTTCCGGGGTCTGCAGAACATTGCTTTATGTACCGTAATTGTCTGAATAAACGCACTTTCACGTTAAAATGTAATATTATATACATACCTCCGGGAATGGTGACGATGTCTGTGTCATACCGCTTGAAGACCTCAAGGGTAGACGGACAGGTGTGTGGTTTATACAGGGAATCATATCATTAGTCCCTGTTTTATGTACGGTAATTACAAATAACACAAGACTACTCAATTATTTACTAATGTCCAATTATAGGTATATATATAGAATTATCTATTTAATCTATTTAATTGTTTTAATTGGAAATCAGTATTGTGTAAGATTGTCATGATAAAATACATTTTAATACATACCTTGAAGATAATGTAAGCTGGGAATTTATGACCAGACGCTGTGGCTGACAGTGCTACGGTACAACCCTTCTTGGCCCCACCGCTGTTCGTGATACGGACAATCTTCTCGCCAATCATGGAGTTGGTCGTGGCGAATGGCGTGTCAAATTGGATCATGGTCTGATCCATGTTGGCATTGTTGTAAGCGGTATAGTCGTTGGCCTGGCGGAGGTGGCGGATGGCGTCATGGAAGGCGGCGATCTTCTCTTTATAATCTGATGGCAGTTTCTGTGTGTCGTTGGTCCCGCGGCGAATCCCGACAGAAAAGCGCTTCTTCCGTCTGCGTAGCCAGCCGTTGGATGCGATGAAACCATCAACTCGAAGCTGGCTGGCGATGATGCAGCCCTGAGCTTCTAGCATACAATTAGTCACGGCACGTCCCTCGGCCCTCTCCTCCACGAACCATTCAAACACGGCGTTGTCAAGCTCCATAGACCTTGGTGGCGTCGCTGCACCAATCTTCTTCAGGGATCCTGTCTTCCCACCAGAGTTCATAAGTAGCTTGTCGTAATCGTGGTTCCATGTTCTGATGAGTTTCAGTCAACTCCAAACTCCCTCTGTGTGGCGGAATAGTTCGAGCCGTTCCCTCGAAACTAGTGGACGATGTCAATCTTTTCCTTCACTGTGTAGCGCTTACGACTAAAAGGCATGATTACTGTAGAATGATGAAAGCAAGACACCTCTCCTTATTTATCCCATTACGGCACCTTTGATCTCAAGATGTCTAGCTCTTACTCAAAGTGTCAAATACTGATGTTATTTTAGGTGTCATTAGGCGCCTTTGTTATAGCGACACCCGACTTCAACGGGCATGGCCTTTATAATTACTTGACTTTATGATGCAACAATCTTACAAACACCGACACAATACAAAACAAGACTGTTTTTTTATTCATATGATGCAACAAACACGACAGAAATTCTATGAGAAGTCTTTCAATCATCGACAGAATAACAGTTCAGTTTGCTCAGTTCATTCTCCCGATCGGTAAGTCTTCCGACCGGGACAGGTCGGCTGAGGTCAAAAATGGGGGGTGGGCTTAATACCAGGCATCCCCCCTGTGCATGGGAGTTGGCAGAAAGGGGGGGTGGGCTTATTACTGAGCATGGGCTTATTGCCGGTATACTTATTGTTTGTGTTAGGATTAGTACAATGCTCACGCTATTTTTGTAGCTCATAATAAAATTTTGGTGTAGAATGGCAGAAACACTCCTTTATGAAGTGTGAGGGGTCACTAATTATCGTATGAATTCAGTTGATGAACTGACCTTCTTTCAGAGGTCGATGGTCAAAAATGTGCCATTTATTAAAACAGGATGGTATGAAAAGATCTAAACCTCTTCCAATTTTTCAGGGTGAGGATTCTGACACAGCTGAAACAGCAACAACAGCAAGACTTACGTGACCTGGACAACTCACGGGCTCGTCTGCACGAGTCCGCCCAGGAACTTGCCATTCGCTATGAGGATTGTCAGGAAGAACACGAAACCATACTTCGCAGGTTAGTGTACGTGTAGTCTCCACTTGCAAATAATCCCCCTCCCTACTTTTAGACAATTGTTTTACTCAGGGCCTATTAGAAGTTAGATATATATAAAAGGCTTACACTTCTAGATCAATTATTGGTCAATCATTGAACGTTTAAGAAATGGTGACGATCAGTTAGATATCTTGGACCAATTTCCATCACTAACACAGTGGCCTACTGAAAAGTTCTGAAAAATTCAGACTTTCCTATGAAGGACTTTCAGAAGTTTGTACCAATGCAATTTTTACATGAAAAGTTCTTGAAAGCTTCATTCACTCCTAAAATATTGGATCTGCAATATAAAAAGGAAAGAAAAGAAGAGAATCTATAGAACTGATGGATGCTTCAAGAATTAATGCTAAAGTTTCATGTTGATACCTCATATAGTGTTTGTGTTACACTCCAGACAAAATTTAAGAATGAAAATTAACAAAGGGCTATAACTCCTACATTATGTAAAAGAGAGTTGTGGTTCTTGTACACTGCACTTATCAAGATTTATCTACCTGTGAAGTTTCAGGTTGATACTTCTTATAGTTTCTAGGTCATCTGAGACAATGTCTCATGGTGACCTATTGCAATCACCTTCATCCAGCATTGTGTGTCTGTAAACAATTTAACATTTTTGACTTCTCAAAAATCTCTGATCGGATTTCAATCAAATTTTGCAGAAACCTTTCCTGGCTTTAGATGAACCAAAATTGTGGATAATACAGTCCTCACCACACAGGGGCCTGAGGGGCATGGCCAAAGGGTTGAAGTTGACTTAAATTTCAAAAATCTTCTTCTTAAGACCCAGATATGGTAGAATCAAATGCTGTTCATGGATGAAACCGTCTAAGGGTGCTTTAATTACCAAAATGGGTCTCAGATTTCTTTACTCTAATTTTTATAGAAAGATTGCTTTTTTTCAGCAGAACGTTGTTTATTTCCCACTGAAAATAACTCTTCATGAATGGAAGCATCTTAAGATGCTTTGATTAACAAAATGAGTCTCACATTTCTTCCTGGGAGGAAGATTTCTTTTAGATTTTTTTGTAATTTTCATAGGAAAAATAGCGATCATGCTTTGTCTGTCGTCATCCGCCATGCGTAAACTTTTGAAATTTCAAACTTCTTCTCAAGTTCTACCCCAGTGGGACTGAGCTGGCATGAAATGATCCCGAGATAGCCCTGACCAAGTGTTGATATTTTTCAGGGATGTCTTAAATTCAAGATGGCCACCATCTTGAAAAACATATTTTTAACTTCTTCTCCAGTTCCACTGGTGCCATTGAGCTAAAAATTGATGGGAATGTTAAGGAAAGGTTGCCAACAACATGTTGTTATTTTCCGGCCTAGTCAAAAACTTGGATACCACAGCCAGTGAGGCCATTTTGTATCATGATTGTGCAATCACAGTTTTCCTGTATAACAACTATATCTTTTCAAGTTTCACCAGTTGGATTGAGTTCCAACTTCACTGTCAAAAAATAAGTAACCCTTGCTACAGTTACCTACTCTTCACCAAAACTACTGTCTGCATCATAGAAAACAGATTCTTTGTAAGATTTCATTCAGAATAGAAAAAATAACCCTTCTCCCTGCTGAAAGTTTTTGTAGTCAGATGACCATTAAGTCCTATGAGCCTCTTGTTCTTATTCAAAAGTGATATTCACCTAGTAATTGATAAGGCCTTTTTTTCCTCTAAAACCAATCGAACAGCTCACCATCTTTGTTGGTGTTTTCCCACTGGAAATAAATAAGAATCATTGGTATATGGGGATGGTTTTGATGGTATACATGTATTGACACTGGCTTACTTTATTCAGTGTCACAATCTCTGTTTCATAACTCTTGAAAACTATCCTTTATACTTAAATTCAATATTTCATATCCTATGTGACCGTCAAGGCCGCTAGGCCTCTTTTTGTGAAATGCTCAGGACAAAATAATGACAAATGGATAGACAGATAAACAAATTGACCAAGCGGCAACTATGTGCTCTCCCTTTTGGGAGCATAAAAACAACTTGAAATTTATAGATTGTATGATACACATATCTCTATAGTATGATATTGATGAAACAAGTTTGTCATTTAGATTTTGTCCCTTTCTATGTATAGTAAATTGTAATGTATGAGAGTGTATTCAAAAAACTGGTTTGTGTTACAGAATTGAGGCAGTGATGCGACGATTGCAGGCACGCAATCCTGTTCTGTCTGAGGCCGAGAGAGGGATGAAAAAAGATTTAGAAGCTATGGAGGAACAATTAGATAATTACAAGAGAAGTCTTCACCAGGTAACATTGTACAGATCACTTTTCCTGTAAACAATTAGATAATTACAGGAGTCTACACCAGGTGACATTGTACAGATCACTTTTCCTGTAAACAGATAATTACAGGAGTCTACACTAGATGACATTGTACAGATCATACAGGAGTCTACACTAGGTGATATTGTACAGATCACTTTTCCTGTAAACAGTTAGATAATTACAGGAGTCTACACTAGGTGATATTGTACAGATCACTTTTCCTGTAAACAGATAATTACAGGAGTCTACACTAGGTGATATTGTACAGATCACTTTTCCTGTAAACAGATAATTACAGGAGTCTACACCAGGTGACATTGTACAGATCACTTTTCCTGTAAACAGATAATTACAGGAGTCTACACTAGGTGATATTGTACAGATCACTTTTCCTGTAAACAGTTAGATAATTACAGGAGTCTACACCAGGTGATATTGTACAGATCACTTTTCCTGTAAACAGATAATTACAGGAGTCTACACCAGGTGATATTGTACAGATCACTTTTCCTGTAAACAGATAATTACAGGAGTCTACACCAGGTGATATTGTACAGATCACTTTTCCTGTAAACAGATAATTACAGGAGTCTACACCAGGTGACATTGTACAGATCACTTTTCCTGTAAACAGTTAGATAATTACAGGAGTCTACACCAGGTGACATTGTACAGATCACTTTTCCTGAGTCTACACCAGGTGACATTGTACAGATCACTTTTCCTGTAAACAATTAGATAATTACAGGAGTCTACACTAGGTGATATTGTACAGATCACTTTTCCTGTAAACAGATAATTACAGGAGTCTACACCAGGTGACATTGTACAGATCACTTTTCCTGTAAACAGATAATTACAGGAGTCTACACTAGGTGATATTGTACAGATCACTTTTCCTGTAAACAGATAATTACAGGAGTCACCAGGTACATTGTACAGATCAGTAAACAGTTAGATGATACATTGTACATATCACTTTTCCTGTAAACAGATAGTTACAGGAGTCTACACCAGGTGATATTGTACAGATCACTTTTCCTGTAAACAGATAATTACAGGAGTCTACACTAGATGACATTGTACAGATCACTTTTCCTGTAAACAGTTAGATAATTACAGGAGTCTACACCAGGTGACATTGTACAGATCACTTTTCCTGTAAACAGTTAGATAATTACAGGAGTCTACACCAGGTGACATTGTACAGATCACTTTTCCTGTAAACAGTTAGATAATTACAGGAGTCTACACCAGGTGACATTGTACAGATCACTTTTCCTGTAAACAATTAGATAATTACAGGAGTCTACACTAGGTGATATTGTACAGATCACTTTTCCTGTAAACAGTTAGATAATTACAGGAGTCTACACTAGATGACATTGTACAGATCACTTTTCCTGTAAACAGTTAGATAATTACAGGAGTCTACACCAGGTGACATTGTACAGATCACTTTTCCTGTAAACAGTTAGATAATTACAGGAGTCTACACCAGGTGACATTGTACAGATCACTTTTCCTGTAAACAATTAGATAATTACAGGAGTCTACACTAGTTGACATTGTACTGATCACTTTTCCTGTAAACAGTTAGATAATTACAGGAGTCTACACTAGACATTGTACAGATCACTTTTCCTGTAAACAATTAGATAATTACAGGAGTCTACACCAGGTGATATTGTACAGATCACTTTTCCTGTAAACAGTTAGATAATTACAGGAGTCTACACCAGGTGACATTGTACAGATCACTTTTCCTGTAAACAGTTAGATAATTACAGGAGTCTACACCAGGTGATATTGTACAGATCACTTTTCCTGTAAACAGTTAGATAATTACAGGAGTCTACACCAGGTGACATTGTACAGATCACTTTTCCTGTAAACAGATAGTTACAGGAGTCTACACCAGGTGATATTGTACAGATCACTTTTCTTGTAAACAGATAATTATAGGAGTCTACACCAGGTGATATTGTACAGATCACTTTTCCTGTAAACAGTTAGATAATTACAGGAGTCTACACCAGGTGATATTGTACAGATCACTTTTCCTGTAAACAGTTAGATAATTACAGGAGTCTACACCAGGTGACATTGTACAGATCACTTTTCCTGTAAACAGATAACTACAGGAGTCTACACCAGGTGATATTGTACAGATCACTTTTCCTGTAAACAGTTAGATAATTACAGGAGTCTACACCAGGTGATATTGTAAGGTACTGTAAAAGAGGATACTTAATTTGTTGTATTTTTATAGAAGCTAGTTATGACATTAACACCCAAGATCTAAAATTATGCATATTTCAAATCCACATTTGTCAAAAAATTTAATGTAAATCAATCTGTTGAAAGGTTTTGTGATAGATGGACATGGCGTTGGTAGTGGAGAACCCATCTTCTATAGCACATTTATCAGTGGATATTGAGACCACAGTTTAATGAAGAAACCTGGGAGATAAGACTTAATATGTTCAACTGTCTTTATCCTTTAGTTTATCAAATCCTATTGGAGGCCATTATCTGATTATATCATCTGGACTGTGAATACAAAGTTCAGGCTTGTTTTATGAAATCTTTATGTTTCCCAAAGGGAGAGCTGCTTTGTCTGTCAATCTGTCATAATTTTGTCTAGAGCATATCACAACAGACATCAACATGAAGCTTCTTAGGTATATAGATCTCGATAAGGAGAAGTGCAGTATACAAGAACCATAACTCTGTTTTACATGATTTAGGAGTAATTAAAACTTGATGTATACATTGGTTATATTAAGAGAATGTGCAGTATACCAAATTCAAGGCCTGCAACTTCTTTCTTAATTACAGAATTATTGCCCTTTGATTAAATTTTGTGTCCAGTAAAGTTTATTTCAGGAAGCATTCATCAGTTTCACCAATACTCTTGTTTCAGCTGCGGACAAAACATGATTACCAGACAAGACAGATAAAAAAGAGCGAGGTGGCTGCTGCAAGCCACTCTCTTAAAAACTCACAAGTTTCTCAGGTTCGCTCAGTTCTACAACAGGAGTAAGTATATATGAGACTTTGGGAATATCAACCCTTAGGTCCACTCTGTTCTACAACAGAAGTAAGTATATATTGGAGCTTGGGAATGTCCACTCTGTTCTACAACAGGAGTAAGTATATATGGGAGCTTGGGAAGGTCCACTCTGTTCTACAACAGAAGTAAGTATATATGGGAACTTGGGAAGGTCCACTCTGTTCTACAACAGAAGTAAGTATATATGGGAACTTGGGAAGGTCCACTCTCTTCTACAACAGGAGTAAGTATATATGGGACAATTGATGCAATTCTGCATTTTCAGGGATACGAAATATAAGATATCTGGTCACACTGATTTTGTGTAAACAGTGATTGATTTGAAGGAGCCCAATGAATTCAGTTATTAACTGAGAAGACAAACACCTAGATCTCCAGCCAATCAAAAACAAGCAATGAAGGCTAGCAATAATAGATGATCACTTTATCTTGTCATTCTCTCCTTCCTTCTCTCTGTCCTTCAATCTGTCTTCCAATCCTTCCATTCTTCAATCTATCCATGGATGGAATCTTGTCTGGGCACCTCATTCCTTTTTGTCCCATGGATTTCTGCACCTCGCTTAATACTATTTGTTATGGTATAGACCAGGTTTCCCAAGGCTGTTTAATTTTAATTTTTTACAGTAAGATAAGAATTTGATAAAGGGCCGGTTTCCAAAATGGCCCCTTCTCTGATTCAAATTTCCTGTTGGTGGTGCATTGCCCATGCCATTGTGGTCACAAATCTATAAAGTATAAAGATTTAGGTCACTTGATTTGTTTTTTATGGCTCCTCAAAGTTGTACCTTTCAGAAGCTAAGTGTTGATAAAATGTGCATGTTATGTAAAATATTAATGAAAATCTAATCAAATGATAGCCACCGTAAAAAATACATTCATGGCATGATTGTGACAAAAATCATGTTTCCATCGCGCCATTTGGCTGTTTTATGGAAGAAACAATCTCAAAAATGCCATTTTCGATGATAACATTTTAGACACAAAAACTGTGTTTTTTAGAGAATACACCCTTTTATGGGCGTTGGATGCAAACCAATTTTTATCCTATTAAATAGTACGTAATATGCTATTGATGAGAGGAAAAATCATCAAAATGTAAGTGGTGGAACATTTTCAAATGTTGGGTTGAATTAGCCTATGGTTGAATTGCCGATTTTCGACTTTCTTTAGATAATTAACAAAAAAACGAGAGTATTTGCTCGGTATGTTGAGAATATGTACACAGATATGAAAAAAAGTGAGAGAAACACTTTTTCATAAAAAAATCCAAGATGGCTACTTCGCAAGTCCCTGTGGTTGAAGACATTGGCTGACAAATAGACAGAACAACAAACAAAACCTGTTCCTTATGATTTTGGTTGGTTTTCGCATTTACGGGATTGTTCATAGCTACCGGCGATTGTATAATACCTATATTTATAAGTTTGGTTAGTCACATGGTAACGGGGATCTTTCATATCGAGCCCCAAACATACTTTCGACATATGCACTCTGTTGCCGCATGGAAAACTATTTCAAGTTCTGTCGGAATTTCTTTACCTGTGGTTGTAATGGTCGAGGGTTTTCCAGCGTCCTGTAATACCCAAGGTAGTACAAGATACTGGAGATGTGCGCACACATTCCCATCGTTCTCTCTCCAACTGGGCACTGGCAGTAGTAGTCCTTTATTGGGGCCTCAACATCGGGTGAAACGGTGAACCGTATCCAAACGTTATATTTCGTTTGGCTTTTGTGTCGAGAATGTATTTGACATCGGAGAAGGTCTGGGGAGTGCTGGTAAAGCCACACCTCATAGTCGCCGTCATCACTTAAATGTTCGGCGATGTAACCAGGAGCCAGAGATATCTGATACGTTCCACACGTAATGGTTCTCAAGTAATCAAGATGGAGACGGGGAAACAGTACTTTATTTTTTTTCTTTTTTTTTTACACATCATAAAACTGTCATGAAAATATCCGCTCTGATATTCAATATAAAAGTTTGTATATAATAAGCTATATAATAGGGTTTCAGACAAGGTTGTTACTAATTTCCCCTTTTCTTTCAATTTACAACCACATTCAGGCGGCGATATGAGAACGTTCCACCACATGGAATTAGCTGATTTTTGGTACACATATGAAACAAGTAAAGCTCTATCCGATTTTCTGATGGAAATATGCATCCAAAACTATATAACGGGAGAAAATTGCAAATTTATGGCATTTTTCTTCATAATTGTGTCTCTGCAAGTGAATTTTCATCCGAGAATATTTTTTTTTTTATGTTTTATGAATAAACACGATGTTTTGGAAATATTTGTCAAAAGAAATTTATACTATGTTGCGAATTACAATTTCGAGATAACCTTCTTTTATTTACGAACTTATGTCTTTGATGCTGAAATTGACAACTTTATAAAAATACATTTTCACTGAAATTATGAAATCTGGGTGTCGGAAAGGTGTAAAATTGTTTTTCGGAAAAGAAAAAAACAGTAGTTGAGCTAGATAAGAAATTATACGAGGGCAGGCTCCTATGGAGAATTAACATTACTGGAAACAGGCCCTTCGATTAAAGGGTATGAAATGTTTAGGCTGAATATGTGATTGGCTTATTTATAAGTGTCTTCTGAAGGTGCAAAGTCATTTCTGATAATAAATGTACATTTCTCTGTTACAGGGGTGAAGATTTGTCAAATATGCTGCACAGGATCAATCAACTCAAATTAGATGTAGGAGTGTGACCTCTGGAAGGTCAGTCACAACAAAGTGTCGACACCAATGGAGGGAGGTTGACCAGTTGGGTGTTGACTTTTCCTACATCACAGATCTCAACTCAGGATGAACTTTGATTTTATTGATGATATAAAGATTAGAGCAAATATAGCCAGGAATAGCTTGGTGTGGAAAAAGGACTCGAGAATTGTGATGTAGAGCTGGTGTCTAGCTTAATAGTGGGACACAAGCTTTGTGATGTGGAGCTGGTGTCTAGCTTAATAGTGGGACACTAGCATTGTGATGTGGAGCTAGAGTTTAGCTTAATAGTGGGACACAAGCATTGTGATGTAGAGCTGGTGTCTAGCTTAATAGTGGGACACAAACATTGTGATGTAGAGCTGGTGTCTAGCTTAATAGTGGGACACAAGCATTGTGATGTGGAGCTGGTGTCTAGCTTTATAGCAGGACACAAACGTTGTGTGGAGCTAGAGTCTAGCTTTATAGTGGGACACAAACATTGTTGTGTGGAGTTAGAGTCTAGCTTAATAGTGGGACACAAACATTGTTGTGTGGAGCTAGAGTCTAGCTTAATAGTGGGACACAAACATTGTTGTGTGGAGTTAGAGTCTAGCTTTATAGTGGGACACAAACATTGTTGTGTGGAGTTAGAGTCTAGCTTTATAGTGGGACACAAACATTGTTGTGTGGAGCTAGAATCTAGCTTTATAGTGGGACACAAACATTGTTGTGTGGAGTAAGAGTCTAGCTTTATAGTGGGACACAAACATTGTTGTGTGGAGTTAGAGTCTAGCTTTATAGTGGGACACAAACATTGTTGTGTGGAGTTAGAGTCTAGCTTTATAGTGGGACACAAACATTGTTGTGTGGAGTTAGAGTCTAGCTTTATAGTGGGACACAAACATTGTTGTGTGGAGTTAGAGTCTAGCTTTATAGTGGGACACAAACATTGTTGTGTGGAGTAAGAGTCTAGCTTTATAGTGGGACACAAACATTGTTGTGTGGAGCTAGAGTCTAGCTTTATAGTGGGACACAAACATTGTTGTGTGGAGTTAGAGTCTAGCTTTATAGTGGGACACAAACATTGTTGTGTGGAGCTAGAATCTAGCTACACTGAGCCCAGGTGTTTCCAAGAAATTGGAACACAAGCTGTAAATGACTCTATATTGCTGCTGACAATATTCCTGGTGCTAACAATTATGAATGATTTAACACAACGTAGAAAGACTTTGTAAGCACCATGCTGTATGTTGACAATGATACAGTATACTATAGTAAAATAAATTATCCGACATGTTGGCTTCTGATAACAAACGAATCCTGAATGTAAAATGCTGAGGTATGACAAAAGTCAGTGATTATGGAGTCTAGAGACCAGAGGGAGGAAAATGGAAGGGCAATATATAGGCTCTGAGGGATGAGAATGGAAGGGCAATACATAGGCTTTGAGGGAGGAGAATGGAAGGGCAATACATAGGCTCTGAGGGATGAGAATGGAAGGGCAATACATATAGGCTTTGAGGGAGGAGAATGGAAGGGCAATACATAGGCTCTGAGGGAGGAGAATGGAAGGGCAATACATAGGCTTTGAGGGAGGAGAATGGAAGGGCAATACATAGGCTTTGAGGGATGAGAATGGAAGGGCAATACATAGGCTTTGATGGATGAGAATGGAAGGGCAATACATAGGCTCTGAGGGAGGAGAATGTAAGGGCAATAAATAGGCTTGTAGGAAAATGGAAGATATATATTGATGGAGAATGGAAGAATAGCTTTTTGTGAGGGAGGAGAATGGAACAGCAGTAGCTAGATAGCAAGGGAGAAGAATGGAAGGGAAATAACATTATGAAAGATTATTGGTTTGAAAATTGTCTCAGTCTTTGTAAAATTATGTAATCATGCTGAAATGATACATTTTAATAAATTTGATTTCTAACACAAAGTTGTTCTATTATTGTGAAATGTTAACATTTAAACATTTAAGTTTAAGGACATGTTGTTCAATTATTAACCTCTGACTGGCTCAAAGTCTCATGATCAGCGAAAAATGCAGGGACAATAATCCTCAATATTTCACTGAAATTTATGTACATCTTTTGTGTATATGCATCATGCAAGTTTAAATCAAAGTTTAAAAGTACAGTAGCAACATCAAAACAAGAGCATTTTCGATGCTCTTCAGCATGTTGCTATCGCCCCTGAGGCTGAGTATCAGTACTTCGTTTTCATTGGTTCATAAATCGAAAGTTTACTCCTACTCCATCTGCCGGACATTACCGTAATCATTGGATTATCGCCCCTACAAGTTGCTGATGCTAGTCATTAAATGAAACAACCTTATCGACATTTTCTTCATTACTTGTACATCAAGAAAACGTTTTGTGTTGTGTATTAATGATAATCAGACATCGAAATTTGTAAATACAATGACAAAGACTCACGTTTATGGTGGTAAATTTTGCGAGGCGATGCCAATATGGCGGCTTAACTTTCTTTTCCGCGCGATGCATTGTGGGTGTCATATACATTTGTATATCTTTCTTTTTTTCTTTTTTCGAAAATTTACTTCCCATTTAATACTGTTGAAAACTATTAAAAATACTGAAATATGTAGTTGAAAATAAAAATGAAACTAAAATAATAATGATTTAGAGTAGCATAAAATTTTGACGGAAACAGCCGGGATGTTCTGTGCTGCTGGACCCTGAAAGAAGACGGCGGCTGAAAGAAGATGGCGGGTAATTTATGTAGGTAAGTATCACTATATATATATTTAAGTCCGTAAGCTATATATATTAAGCTGAATTTGAAGTCAATACTTATACTGAACTAGCAATTGCATTTTTTGCAACAATTCATTTGGAATGAGCCTTCGCGTGTATTGAATTTAGGCTCGACGGCGACGCGCAAGCTGGGCACTGCCGCCATGGCACTTTTTTTTTCAAAATATTTTCAAGACTTTTCCTTTGAAGCAGTATGCATTTGAAAAATGTTATGTAAGCATCTAGCACATTTTTGTTGCTTCCGTAAAGTATTTCAGTATTTTGAAATGGATTTATTTTTGAATGATCGTTTCATAATGGTCTCATCGCAGTCACTTCTGTCAGTGGCCCAACAGATCGGAAATTAAACAGAAAAAAACTTATCCGTAATATTGTACTGTACTACTTACGCTACCGTGAATAGATCTAGGAATCTATCTGTGTAATATATCGATTTTACTTTAAAATATCGGTCACTGTCCGCGCTATTGTAGATCTAGCTCTTTCAAATTTCTGATCGGAGATAATTTATAAGTACCCCAAGGCCAGGGTATGAAATCGTACGGGAACTCTACAGCTATGCTAATTGTAAGGTTTACATGTGAAGTTAATATATATAGTTTTAGCTTAAATTTAGTTTTTGTCTTTCTGACATGATGTCTCGTTGATTCTGTTGAAGAGTGATGCATGTGAACGATTACAATATGAAGATTGGGAATAATGAAGATGTCAATTAACATCTGAATCTCGGAAAGTGTTTTAATAAAGATTAGAATAAACCTAGCAAAGTGTTAGGTCCCAGTGTGAATGTGTAAAGTCCCAGTGTGAATGCGTAAAGTGTTATTGATACAATTGAACTTTTGATATATGTACTGTATTTGTTTATCTCAGAAATTTCAGTATTATGTCAACTGCGTCCACTTTCAGTTCAACACTTTTGATTCATCAATTTTACCAAGCCCTAGGCTCAATATTTGTCATTAATTGTCGACTGTTTTTTTTAGCGTTTTACAGTTTTGTTTTCATGGTGAATGGAATGAAATGAGATAAGTAGTCTAACCAATACCCCTCGAGAGCTAATTAAGACATTGCAGTATTATCACTTTGGGCCTTATTAAAAGTCAAATTGAAACTTTTAAGAAACTCAAGTGACCGTAAGTACAACAATAAGATGTCAATAATCAATGAAATTGATTAATTGAGAGGACATTTTCTTAGTACAGTTAACCAGGCTTTGTAGTGGTTTGTTCAGAACTGTAGTTCTGGTTAAGTAACCATTAATTGTGTCCTTTCAGTTACAATGACATACATTTTTGAAATACCTCTACTGTAGCTAAATGTGGCATTTGTAATAGACAGCCAAAGTTAATTTTGTGATCAACGTAGCCAAAGTTAATTTTAGGATCAGTTAGGACAGCTACTGTTTGTAACAGGCATGGGTTCAATTACATGATGATGTAATTAATTAAATTACAATTACATTATGAAAATGGCATTGCCATTACAGGTATTTTCAAAATAATTAAATAACCATTACATGACGGTCCAATGTAATTAATTAAATTACACATTACTTTTCAAGTCAAAATGATTTTTGAAATACAAACATCAAAATAAATTATCATACTGCACAGATTTATCACACAAATTTAACTTTATGATTCAATCTCTGTATGACCATGGTCAATATATTATTATTTTCTAGCTGTCCATCGCTTAATAATTTGACAGTCCTGAACGTCAAAATAATTAATTACAGTATATTTAATATAGACTCCTATTGGGAAGTTCAAGACTATAAGCTTATACAGAAGTGTATATTTCTTGCACATAATCATAGCAATAAAGAAATATAGTTATGTATTTCCCTTACTCTCTTTCAGCAGGTGGATGTCCCTGAAGAAATGAAATCTGGAATGGTAGAAGGTATCTCTATTGATTCTTCTAACTTGGAATTGGCCATTGTGACCAACAATGGATTTGAGGACCTTATGGTGGAGAAAAATGTCCTTTCCAACCTCCAATTAGATGTTGAAGATGATTAATAACTTGAGGAGATGCTAACAACCATGTTGCCTTTTAAGGTCACCGTACTCTCTAAAGGCGGCAATATATTTACCATCACGAAAGAAGAATCAACAAATTGCGGAAACTAAAAAAATGTGGAAAAGATCATTGTATACTGCATTTGTAGTAAATTTCTATACAATCTTCAATTTACTTGAGTAGAAAGATTCACTAGTTATACCAAGTTTGTGTAGAGAGGATCACTGTATACTGAGTTTGTAGTGTACATAGAAAGGTTTACGTATTTTTTTTTCTGAGTTAAGTGTATACAATATATAAAAAAAAACTTTTTGTAGAAAGATCACCGCATACTGAGTTTGTTGTTTTAAAATGTGTAGAAAAGATCGCTGTATACCGAGTTTATAGTTTACAATTGTCTAGAAAAATCACTGTATACTGAACATAATACTTCTGTTTAAAACCTTCATTTAAACTTAGACATGTATTTTTTTATTTATCTTAAAAGTCTACCTACAATAATTTTGTGTATGCAATCTTGTACTAGGATATTGACATGACAAGATTTACATTGCTGATCAAAGCATGGAAAGAATACTGAATAAAGAAAACAAGATATAAGCATCTGTATCATGTTTTTTATTATTATTATTATTATTTTTCCATAATGTCTGTCCACATGGAATTTGTAAGCACTCTTGTGCATTCTTATACCACCAAAAGGGTGGGTAAACTGGAATCAGGTTGTCTATCAGTCCATCCATCCGTTTGTCTGTCTGTAGACACATCTTGTCTAGACAACTCCAATGAAACTTTACAGTAATATTCGGGACAATGTGTAGATGTGCATGCACCATTTTCCCCTGGAAATATTGATTGCCATGGCAACTGGTCAATATAGACAGGTTTTGCATGTCGGTCA